AAAGTATATACATTAAACAAGGTCTCCAGCTATCAGCTGTGCTATCTGCGAGCAGAACAGAGGTGGTAGACTAGTGTGGCTGTCAATACCACAGCCCCACATGCTCCTAGAGGGTTGAGTAACAAGCAGAAAGGATGTGGAACTCAGCTAAACTGTAACTCCAGGGAAGCAGGGGCTTGTCTCATTCACTGGCACTCAAAAAGCACCCCATGAAAACATTCCTCAGTACTTGACTGGGTACTCGAATGAGTGGACATGCAGAAGGCAATGAAATCAACATTCTAAGAGTAGATCTTAATGAAACCCTGATGTATATAGTCCTGCCTGCCAGGCAGACAGCAGTCAACCCAAAGATCTAAAAATTAAAGGGGGGTGTTGTGAGCCTGGCAGAAGACAGAACTCTGACCCCATCAATGCCCATGCCTCTGAAATTCTCCAAGACAGTTTCTTTCCCTGACAAACACAAATTATCAAGATTAACTAAGACCTAGGTATGGAGATGTGTACCTCTAATCCCCACACTCAGGAGGCTGAGGCAGGAGGACTTCGGAGAATTCAAAGGCTACACAACCAAACTCAATCTCAAAATAAACAAGCATATAAGCATGTAAGTTTCCAAATGCAATGAAACAAGAGAAAAGGGGCTGAAAGGCATATCAAAATATTAATTACAATTAGTCCTAGATAGTGAAGTTATTAAAGACTTCAGGGTGTGTGTATGGAGGGGTGGACATGGGGAGACCAGAAAACAACTTGCAGAAGTTGGTCCTCTCCTTCTACCTGTGGGTCCCGGGTATTGAACTTGGGTCATGAGGCTTGGCACCAAGCACCTTTTATCCACTGAGACATCTGGCTGGCCCATTTTGGGATTTTCTATAGTCAGCACAAATTGATTTTCCAATAAAAATTAAAGTGTCTATCCCAGCACCTAGGGCACAGAGTAAGAGACTCAACCGTGCTCCTGCCCTGACAATGTCCTTCAGACACCTAGAAACAGCTATCACATGTCTGTCTTATGTTTCTTGTTAAATATTTCAGTTAATTTAGCGGCTGGATTTCAAGGCTGGATCCCTCCTCTTTGCCAAGTTCCATCTGTTAAGCCCAGAGCACGTACCGTACAACCAGCACTCACTCTCACCCTCCTCTGCTCATTCCTCCGCTTATTCACTCAGCAAGGAAACACTAATTAAACACCTACCACGCTGGACATCCCTTTGCTCTTGCCTATCTTATCATTCAAACACCGTTCCCAGACTTCCTTAGGGAATGAGCCCCTTGCCTCATTCTCTGTCCCTGTGCCCCAAGAGACCTGCAGACCCCAGCCTAACTTCTCCAGGGGGCAGGCACTGGGCCTAGAATGGCCATCAGAGTACTGAGTACACTTGGCAAGACAGTTGACTGTTTGGGGGATGTGCATGTTATCCAGAGCCGTGGGGGGGGGGGACGGGACGCGGGAGGAGGGGGGACCTCGCACAGTAAGATCGATTCTGAGACTTTCTGCTGGATTATTAGGAAGGCGACCTTTCTAAACCCGCCATAACTGCTAACTGCTATCTGATGCCACAATGTGGAAAGGAAATGTATTTCATCAAGAGGTGAAAAACTGTCCAGACTTGGCAAGACTTTTAAGCTTTGGATTCTATGCCTCAAATTTTATCTTTAAACTTTTCAACTAAATAAACAGTCAAATCTTCTCTTTACAGAAGCCAGTTCAAGCTGGAGTCGTTCTGAAAGGGTCTGAATTTCTGGGAGGACACGAAGCAAGCTGACCCACGCCACCTTCCCAGGCTCACAGTCTGACATGGAGATAGCACCTTTCCTACAGCTACAGAAAGCCAATACGATAACAGCCGAATTAAATTCTACACAGTGCAACATAAGCATTAAAAGGGGCATCAGCAAAGGGTCTCCCAGGGCAACAGTACTTAAGCCTGCTTTCTATCCCTACCCAGGCAATGAAGACAGAGTAACGGTCTGAGGGAGTCAGATAACACTGTTGATTCGCATCCCTCTTCCAGGAAACTAAAACCCCCGAGTCCCGGCTTGCAGAGTGGGCAATGATATGCCAAGCCAAGCGCTTAATGGAACTCCAAATGAACCCCCGAAACACTGCCTTGAGAGATATGAGAAATGCCACGGTCAAATAACCATCACTCGGGGACACGTGACAGAGGAGGTGATGGCCTTAACACCCAGGTTGGGTTCCTGCCATCTCCTCCGGAAGTGAAGCTGCCTGCCATCACCCTCTCCTGACTCTGTAAGCTGATTGGCATCCCTGTCCCCACACCTATTTGGGTTACTGTTCACCAAATCACAGGAAGTTGCCATCGAAACCTTTCAAGATGGATAACCCACTTAGGGAACTTATCTCCGAACTGTGCCAAGGGAGAGACAAGAGGAGAAACCTGTGGTCCTATAAAACAGCTCATGAGTTCGACATGTGGCCAACCGCGGCAAACAACAAACAACAGTGAGCGCTCCTCCGGGAACATCTATTTTGCTAAGAAAGGCCATAAATGTTCTTTGTCAATGCACAGGAGCCGGTGTCTTGGGGCCTTTGATGATACATCCTCTACAGGCGGTGGGCAGATCAAATAAGTCTAAAAAAGGACGGCACAGTGGGACAAATCCTCACCTTCGTCGCTTGCTAAACACGTCAGGGATTCCTTTGTACCAGAAACAAGAGTTCTGACTTTCCAGAACAAACAGGCTTCAAGTTGAGACAATTAATCCTGACTGGAATACACCACCCTGTAACCCAGGGGGTGGGGGCTGTCAAAGGTTAGTGACAGGTGGCGGGGGGAAGCTTGAGATGCCTTCGGAGTCCCCTGGATGGCTAAGCAGTGATTGTGTAAACTTGTTTATAACAATGCCTCTAAAGCCACCGAACTCCCTCTACTGCATGGCAGGACTTGACCTAAGTCTGTCTGTCTGTCTGTCTGTCTGTCTGTCTGTCTGTCTCTCTCTCTCTCTCTCTCTCTCTCTC